TGGATATGTTCGTGATCTGTTTGGTGATTGTGCTTAGCTATGATTGTATATGCGCTAAGTTAATGGTAACTATGTCAAACTTTTCTTTCGCGGCTGTATATTGTATATAGATTATGTATTATATTGTATTGTAATATGTATGTATAGAGTATAGATGTATACACAAGCGAGCAGAAAAACTGTCACTTCATTTTTTGATTATAAACTCGGGATTATAAGGAATTGAACTTTGATATTTAATTAATTAGTTGAACGAATATTGAAAAAATAATTCTATTAAAAATTTAATATGAAAGATGATGACCATTGTCCTGTAAACCCGAATTAATTCTCCTTGAAATTAAATCCACTAATGAAGTTAGATATTCCTATGGAGAATTTTGTACAATTCGACACCGACTATCGGCAGAATGATAAGTAGGAGATTGTCCAGATTTAGGCTTTCTATTGATTGACTGGCCAGTTTTTCATCGTTTTTTAACACGTAAAATGGTTCTTGGACTAACATGCGTCAATTTAGCACAATTTTCTATATTATTTGAAATATTTTTCAACACAAAACAAACTTCATTTCTTTTCCTCTCATTTTCACTCGAAGGGTACCTTTTAAACACATTTGTTTATGAAAATTAATCATATTAGCCCGCTTCAAGTGCATTAATATAATCTCTTTATGATCCAATATCAAGATAAAAAATTAGATCAAAAATATCAAATCATTGAGAAAAGATATTACAATTCAAAGTAAAAATTGTGAAGTGACAGTTTCTCTGCTCGCTTGTGTAGATACTAAAAATAAAAATTCAGATTTGAACTGAAATAATTTTTGAAAATGTGAATAACGTATAATTAGGCAAGCTATGACTTTGACTGCGAAATCATCTGGCGCTAAATCAAATTTTTCATCCAAAAATGGCGTTGAATTCGTCGCAAAGTCTTCTAGACAAATGACCTTGAGACTTAGCATGTATGGCTCTCCAATTTTGTAGAGTACGAAGTGTCTATATGATTAGCCTAACATTCATAACCTGTGAAATAATGGGATTACCAGATAACGGAACTATAATAATTTCATCAATGATCCCGAGTCAGAGAATAGTTAATTCAATTTAAATCGCACTAATTGTCTTGATTTCTTTAATTATCAATTTTATCAATCAATGATATCACAATAACAAATTTTTTCATTTTTCTGCTTTTCATTTGTTTTATTATGTGCTTCTCATTGACTGCAACGCATTACTACCTTTAATTAAGATGACTAACAATAACCACGCACAAACGTGAAAAAATACGTGTCAATTATTTTTCGACCTCTACAATATAAATCCGAAAAAAATTGAGAACAATCGTACAAGCAAGGTCGCTTCCCTTGTGAGTTAAATTTTCTTTTAAATTATGCATAAAAACGTCACAAAACCATCCGAAAATATTAATATTTACGGTTAAATTCGATCTATCAAGAGAGATTATCAATCATGCTGCCAGATAAATAGTGAAAATAAGCTATTTTCAGTGAGTTCCATTATCTACCAGGTTACTTTATTGGGTTCGTGAGATATTAAACAAAAAGTGAAGTAAATGAAGTTGAATAGATTTGTATTATATTATAAGATAAAATAATAATTGTATCGCAAACAACGATAGATAGCATCACATTACATGATGGAAGCCTAACAATTTACCTAACAATTTTTTAGAGTAAAGAAAGTCATCTGTGATTAATTAGTCTTCAATGTTTTCTGATGCTTCAAATAAAAGTGAGTTTATTTTGATGTGCAAAGATGGATTTGGCACAAATAATTTCATATCTTGAATCATTAGATTCACCAACACTGAATACTGATTATGCTTTACAAAGTGACACTTCAGCTGTTCCACCATTACCTCAGCCTTCATATCCGAACGAAACTCTTTCCCTTTTAGACACTTTTTGTTCCGATGCAGATACTGTTCAAAGTAACTTACTTGATATTGATGAATTTAATAATCAAAGCAATGAAGGGCAACAGTTTTTTGATTCATCAATAGAGAATTGGTTCAACTCTAATGATTGCAACAACCCATCAGATAGCTTGTACGCTATTGAAAGCATAAGTAAGTCATGTGACCCTTTCCATGATTTTGAGATTATTATGAATGCCAAAAGATGGATTTTTTATCAAAAAATTTAATTATTATATCATTTTTATTATAGATTCGTCCACATTAGATACAGACCATTCTTCACAATGTGATACTTTAGCTGTTCAACCATTACCTAGGCCTTCATATCCAAAACGAAGTCTAGCTCTTTTGAAAGCCTTTTGTTCCGATGAAGATACTGTTAAAATTTATCTACAAAATGATGATTTGAATAACTACAACAATGAAGGACAACAATTTTTCACTTCAATAGGAAATCTTGATTCTTGCATTCAAAATTGGTCAAACTTTACTGACACAAACAAACCCTCCGATCGCATGAGTATTAATGAAAACCTATGTAAGTTCATCTTGTTAAGGTTATCTCTTATCATGACACATTTCATTAATAACCAGCTCCAGTTCCAGCTCCTATCTCATCATACTTATCTACCGATCCACTGGCCGTTGATTCTCTTCTCCTGTACCCCAAATACAATGATCTAAAATTGAATTTTATATTTCTCATTAAACATGGATACAAATTGACCTTGTCATTAAATACGGATAATAGTACAATTGATGAGCCATGGAATCCTGATGTAGGTCAAAAAATCCTGTCTGCTTATTTTTCTTCATTGAGTTTGAGGAATGATTACTTGTCCAATGAAGCTAAACTAAATGGATTTCAATCACTTTTAATGAATGAAGCGAGTTCCGCATTTAAGGGTAGGAAATGCTTGAATTTATTTGCAAATATAGATGACAGGAGGCGATCAAAAGCCAGACCAGATAAACTTATTTCAATATGTAATGGAATCAATGGCTTCAGAAAAATTGAAACCATCGATAAAATGATTCTGCTATCCAACATATATTATCATCTTCACTTAATGGACGGTGCTATTAACTACGATCCGACAATTGACGGCTGGGATGTAAGTATCGATGATAAACTCGACCATTCCTTTATTGATATTGTATTAACTCATTATTCGGTTGCTTTTTTTATTAAAGTATCCAGCATCTGACGTCAAATATGATCGACGAGACACGTTTCTCTTCAGTCAATCTTTTCATGATGGACTTAATTACGTAATCGAAACCTTTCCCGATCGATTCAGAAACGATATCAATGCCATTATTCTCATGTATCTAATCGTTATTTTCAATGGTGACATAACCGGATTGAAACATCCCGAAATGATCAGGTTCGTTCAAATTGATGTTACTCTTTTGTTAAATGTTTTTTTGGTTCATGTTAGCTTGACATTTTTACATCTTTTCACAGATATCAACAATTCTCATATATTAATTTACTACGATGTTACCTGCGGACAGTTTGTGAATCTGATTGTGAAGCTTCAGACAATCATTACAGGTTGATGGCTAAAATTGAACAGTTGAGACTTATGGCTGCAAAATCCGAGAAGAAATTTTTTCTTCTAATAAATGAGCCTTTGGTTGAAACAATAACAAAAGCAATTACACTGGAGTACCTAAAATCTTCCCGCAAATATTTCAGCTGAAATATATTGTAAAAATTGTACATTAACTCTACCTTTGAGATCCTACCTACCTTCCTGCTTGATTAAATCCAGAGAATTATGTGGATGGGAAAAATGGCCAATTCTCACAATTTTTAAACAGATTCTAATGCAGTGCTGCATGCTGATTTCAGAAATCAATTTATCTTTAAAGTGTGTAGTTTCCAAAATATAGAGGAAAAATGCAGGACAATAGCCAAACGATTTTTGCATAGAGACATTAAGCAGTATTTAGTTGAGATTATCAATTTTTTCTCATATGTCTTGTGAAATGGACCCTCTAGTAGAGTTTTTCAACGTTTTGGAGTTCTTTTTTCCCTAGGATTTTTATTTGTTATGTGTTCTTCATAAGACACAATTGTAATTGAATCACTCAGAATGAAATTTCTATCTGAAAAGTTAGGTCTGATGTGACCTTCATTGGGTCCCAAGGGATTTGTTGAACAACTATCTAGGTAATGCGAATTTTTACCTGATTTTTATAGAGGCATACTCTACTCATCATACATGTAAGCTTTCGATTGATATATGTTTTAACATTGTTATACCATTCTGAATTATGGGCCGATTTGGCTATTTTCCTTTGAATCTTTACTTATTAATAAAAAGAGAGTTAACTTAATTCAACACAACAGTTATGATGTAGCTCAGTAAGAGTTAACTTGTAACCTCTTCTTTGTATTCAATGAAAACGTTTGCCTCAAACCAACACTTTCAACAAATGAATTTCAAATAGACACCAGGACATCAGCTATTATTTCACGACAGGCATGCAAACAGTTCTCTTCAATATAATGAGGCAAAAGTGAAACAGATTTTAACCTAATCTACCATTTTATCATTAAGAGATAATATTTTAATAATCATTGTAACGCAATTATTATACATTTATGATAGCATTAGAAAAGCATTAGCAAAGAAATGTTTACCTAACAATTTTTTGAAGCAAAAGAATCATCTGTGATGCGTTAGCCATTACGTTTTCTGATAATTTTTAAGTGTTTGAGATTATCATTGTGCAGCGATGGATTCCGATCAATTTATATCATTCTTTCAATCATCTTTGAATTCACCAACACTGGATACAGATTATACGTCGCAATGGGACACTTTAGCTGCTCAACCATTACCTCAACCTTCATGTTCAAACCAAAGTCTGGCTCTTTTAAACGCTTTTTGTTCCGATGAAAATACTGTCAAAAGCTATTTACTTGATGGCAATCAATCGAATAATCATAACAATGCAGGACGTCAATTTTTTGATTCATCAATAGAAAATCGGCCCAGTTCTAATGATTGGACTAACCCGTCAGATAACTTGTATGCTATTGAAAATCTGAGTGAGTCAACACATTGTTTTACCATTTAAGATTGCTTCTCATGAACCTTTCCATGTTTCTGTGTTTATTATTGATATGAGAAGATGGATTTTGATAATTTTTTATTCCTTCAATTATCTACAGATGAATCAACACTGGATACAGATTATGCTTCGCAATGTGACACTTTAGCTGTTCAACCATTACATCAACCTTCATGTGCAAACCAAAGTCTGGCTCTTTTGAAAGCCTTTTGTTCCGATGAAGATACTGTTAAAAGTTATTTACTTGATGGCGATCAATTGAATAACAATGCAGGACAACAATTTCTTAATTCACCAATAGAAACTCTTAGCTCTTCCACAGAAAATTGCTACAAATCCAAAAACCCATTCAATAGCTTGGATGCTATTGAAGACCTATGTAAGTTTGTGTTAATTAAGTTAATTTTAAGGTTATCTCTTATCATTACCCGTCCCATTAAACAGCTCCAGTTGCAACTCCTATCTCATCATACGAATCTACTGATCCACTGGCCGTCGAGTCTCTTTACCAGTCCAAGATGCACAACACTTACGATAATCTGAAATTGAATTTTATCTCTCTCCTTAAAAGTGGATACAAATTGACCTTGTCACTAAACACGGATAACAGTGAAGTTGATGAGCCCTGGAATCCTGATGTTAGTCAAAAAATCTTGTCTGTTTATTTCTCTTCATTAAGTTTAAAAAGTGAATATTTATCCAATGATGTGAAACTAGATGGATTTCAATCACTATTAATGGAGGAAGCATATGTTGCTTTTAAAGGTCAGAAACACTTGAATTTATTTTCAAATTTAAATGACAGGAGGCGAGCAAAAGCAAGTCCAGATAAACTCATTTCAATATGTTGAAAGGAAGAGTTCATAGTTTTAAACTAATTTACCAAATTAAATAAATTCACTTCAATTGCGTACAAATCAAACACAATTTATTAAACTCAGAAGATTATTCAAGCCTTTCAAATCCTGAATACTCAGGTTCTTTTAGGATCACCACAGATTCAACTGGAACTAGTCTTAGACTATTGTTGGATTAGCTTTGCTTAACAGGAATTAGTAACCACAAATTCAACCAAAGAATGTTGTAGGTTAAGTCTTAGACCAAATATCTGAACAGGTATAGCTTACTAAAGCTGAACAGGCACGAGTCAGAAAGCTTTTAAAAGGTAAAACCAAATTCTAACCAAAATAAGCTTAAGGTAGAACAGTATAACTCGGAAAGCAATATCAGGATAACTACCAATAGTTCACTAGCTTTTAACTCTAGAATCATAGACTTAGTCTTTTATTACCAAATTGTTGAACTTCGGACAGGCTATCTTAGACAAACTTAGAAAGCACTTCAACACAATCAATCGTAAAGATGGAAAACAGGATTTTCACGATGCTTTACAGGGGCAAGAATGATAATTAGACTTAGTCTTAAAGAATATGGATACTTAAAGTTATACTTAGAAAAGGAAATTTATTAAACTGAAAAGTACTGTATTTCATATATTTTAAATGTGTATCACTTGTTTTAAACATCGATTCTGACTTGATTTAGGATAGAAAACGAACATAATTAATTAATGAAAACTTCTGGTATTTATACCAATTATATCGGAAGGAAACCCGATTTCTTAAACAAAGGAAAAGGAAAAGAAATTTATCAATTTAGACAAATTTAGACAATTGTCGAAAGATGTCTTAGACAGAAAAATAGAAAAGAAAAAGAAAGGCAAAAGACTTAGTCTTTTGATTACAAAATTGGTGAGAAAACAAAAATTGAAAAATGTGTAATGCACAAGGGATTCTAATCTTAGTTTAAAACTTTTAACTCTTAATAATCAACCTTGTGATAAATGATTAAATGATTTAATTTGGTTTTGGGTAACTCTACCCTTCACATCCTCGGACCCTTGATCAAGAACCCAGAATTGAATTAAATCATTTTACTCCTCATTCCATCCATCTAATTCTTGTAGCATTCTTGAGGCGGCGGCTGAGCCATCATCCGGCTTTTTGTTTTTCATTTCTTCCTAAACAGTTTGAAACTTTTCATTGGGGTCCATAACTTTTTGATTTTTCGAGGCATTCTCAGGTTCAGATGATTCTGCGCTCCTCTTTGCTTTAAGCATCTCAACTATTTTCTTGTTCCTCGATTGCGGAGTATCTCCTTTGACTTTCTTTGAATCTTGCTTACAGAGTTCAGCAGTTCGTTTCAGGATTTCATTGTCCGGTAAAATACAATTATCGTTGAACTCAGGGATTCTTATACTTCGAGGGTTTTTCTTCCATTCCTCTGGCCATTTGCAAACTCCTTTGGCTATGCCTTCGGTAAATTCATTCAGCAATCCAGAAGTTACACGGTTGCCACAAGTCTGTTGACAATTCTGGTTATGAATTCCACCATGGACTTCAGCCATTCGTTCAATTTTGTTCCATTGCAAAAGATAGAGTCTCATTACCGTAGTAGTTTCGACCACTGGAGAGTGAGGGTTTGTTGGAAGAGTGTATCCATGAAACCAAAGAAATGCAATCGCATGTATATTCATAGGATGCTCTATGTAAGGAGAATAGTAGTTATTAACATCTCGGAGCTTCGGGTGTAACACCTTAATTTCATCTCGAGATAGACCCAAATTTTTCAAATGATTGATTAGCCCATAGCCAACCACTTTCTTTGCACAAGCTAGGAATTTAATGACTTGGTCTCTAGCTGTTGCCAAGTTTCGAGCATATTTCAAGTCTTTGACTGTCAACCCATGGAATCGAGAATCAATGTGATCGATTTCACGATACTTAACGAAAGTTTCGTATACCACTTCCAGGTTTGCATCCATGATTGCTATCCAACACGGTCGAGGTCGATAGTAACCATTTTCGTTGATTCTGACATTGAACATGGAAATCGAAAAAGTTAACTCCTTATCAGGGCATGTTGCCGACATTTCCTCAATAGCATTGAGTTGTTCTTGAAGCATTGGCGGAATGTTTGCTTCAGGTCTGTTCTGGAATGATTGAGCCAACTGAGTTCGCTTTCGATTTCTCGTCATTACAGTTCTTTCCTTAGTAGAAACTGCTAACTCTCTGTAAATGTTTGATGGATTTTTGCAACTAGGGAAGTTTTCCCTTATCCAGTCCTGGACTGAGTCCGCTTCTGCTGGAGCCATACGTTCAAACGGGTCAGATAATACAAATGGCGATTCTGGATCATTAAGATCATGAGAGTACAAGACTAATGATGATGTTGTTGAAATACTATCGGCATCACAGTCAACATATTTTGCCCATCGTCTCCAAGTCTCAGACTCAGCAAG